AAGAATCTGTGATTCTTTGAGATTACTTCAGAAGCAACCTTTCTGGTCTGAAATACAGATTTTCTAGCCGGTCCGATGATTATTTAAATAACTCCGACTTCTGTAAATAATCCATTGATAGTTAAGTCTTTTCTCGGTAAAAATCGAAGGGAGCGCGATGGTCGTCGGGAATACTCGGGACCAGTTCTCTTCATACGCATGTCTCACGTTCGTCACGTGCCCTTCTGTAAATATCGCAAAGCTGTGTACATTGTAGATGTAAATAAAAATCGCGCTACTTTACCTGTGACGCACTGGCTTCTGTTAAGGTCAACTAAATACTTTTACCGCAAATATTCAATTTAAACAAGTCGCTAAGGCACATTCTATTTTGAAAAAGTTGTAAAACGTAATAATTGTAAAATTGTAACCAGATTTCCTGCTGCACGTTAAAGTTTTAATATGTCAGTTTCAAAATATTAAAATTCTTACTTGGCGCCAAGGCTTAGGGGAATAAAATTAAGGAATTAATTATTCGTTCCTCAACCTCAATGTGATTTGTTTTGTTTTATTCTACCAAGCCTCGGACCCAAGTTAGAATTTTAATATATCGAAAATGGCATGTTGCTGGTATTTTTTTTAAAAAGCGCTGATTTAAAAAATAGCTTTTGTAACCGGATAGTAGTAGAAGCCTTAGTAGAGCTTAATATTTTTCTGAACAGTTCAGATTGCCAATAAAAAAAATACAGCTTATAAATTAACCAGATCATAAGGGCTGTCTTTTCTTTTTGTGTGGCTGCTTTTTTACGAAGGCGTTTTGTAGTTGACGATCTACATAGACTAATACGGAGATACTCTGCACTTGAAAACAACAAAAATAGGTAACAAATAGCCTTTAAGAATCGTGCTTTCAGTGTGTCCTTTTCATATACCCAACAACGATGACATGAAGCTGATTATATGAGATGTGGCTGATAAATTTGCGGTTCTGTTTCTATCCAAATAACCACATGTTTCATGAGAGATCGGCAGGTGATACAGATCTCACTCCTCTTGCATTTCAAGCAGCCGCCAATTGTCTCAAGATATTGCTAAAGATAGCCGCCTTCTAAGTACTTGTTTCCTCGGATGTTTTTTCTTTCGAGTCATATGTGCGGAGTAGAATTTTTCTGTCGTGCTGATGTGTAACAATTAGTCATACTGTTTTAACTTTAGATTCAGTGTTTGATTAAAGGCGGGGACAAGATAGTGATCTTTACGCATATTGTTGTATTGTACCTCTTATTAAAATACCTGATCATTAAAAGTTTCCGTCACACTAAAGAACGAGTCGCCTTGATGGCTACATGAAAAGATAAAGCTTTTAAATAGAGCACCTCTCTTCTGCGCGTGCTGGGCATTTTGTCATTTTAAAGAATGGGTATTTCTTGAGATCAGCGTGAAGTCCTCAACCTTGTTGATTTTCTCAAGTCCTACTCTTGCTTGAGTGACTTTCTCAAGGTCAGGTCATCGTTTAGGAGATCCTCGTTCATCTTGATCAAGCTGAAATCCTAGAGACCAGTGTCTTGGCCGATTTAACTTGAGATACTTGACACATTAAGACATGAGTTCAACTAACTCGTCTTCACCTGATGCTTGGAGCGACCTGACCACCCCAACTATGAAATGGGTTTTTCGCATCCTCTTCTCCACGATCTTAGTTTTCGGTATTTTGGGAAATGGCGCGGTGTGTCTAGCCATCCTTGTGAAACAGCGGTTACGAACTACAGCCAATTTTCTGGTCTTAAACCTTGCAGCGGCAGATCTGATATTCGTGGCGCTCTACGTTCCGACCCAGCTTTCCTTCTTCGAGAACAACTACAGCTGGGAAATGGGTGATGCCGTTTGTAAGCTTTCATACGCCGTCCTTCCAGCGTGTCTTTGCTCCACGGTGGAAACGCTGTTGTGTATTGCTGTGATACGCTACAAGGCTGTCGCTAGCCCCTTTCATGTACGCGTCGGAATGACCGTGAAGACAACAGCTATTGTGATAAGTGTTATCTGGTTGTCATCTTTACTCACGGGCTTGCCCGTTTTTCTTGTGGCGAAAACCGCCAAGTATCAAGACAAGGTATTCTGTGACGAGGTGTGGCCGGTTGGCAAGCCCTACAGTCAGGTCTACTGGGTTTCTATTTTCCTTATCCAGTACGCACTTCCACTAGTGGTAATCGCTCTTCTTTCTATAGCTACAGTTGTAAAGGTGAAGCAGAGCCGTGCTCGCGTCTTGCCAAGTTCGTCGACCGTGAACAACGATGGCAATTCTATTGCAAACGTAATGAACGCCAGTGTGAGACGAAGACGAAGACGAGAGAACAACATGTCTAAGATGTTAACAGGTCTGGTTATCTTGTATGCAATCTGCATGCTTCCTCAACACGTCGTGTTTTTCTGGCTTACTTATGGCGGCTTAAAGAAGCTTGAATCTTCTTTGTACATCTTTACCATCGCTAACATCTTCCCCATTGCCAATAGCGCAATAAACCCTCTTTTATACGGTAGCTTGCATAAAGAGTTGAAAACTGGCTTTAAAAGCTGTTTTGGATGTACCTGAAAGGACACTTCGCGCTTATTACTTGATATACCTATTAACACTTAAGCAGAGCTCTTTACAATTCAAGTCACTCTTCTCTTTGTCGGCATTAACAACGAAATCATTTGCACGTCAAAAGTGATCCGTATAGGTCGCTAACGAGATTCTCCAATCTTCAGACTATTGTACGAAGAGATAAGGTGCAAATGTTAACGAGGCTGCAAGCCAAGGTAACAATAACAATCAATCAACGGCAGTTGTGAGAAAGATGCAAATGCAATCTTGAAACAATTACTCGACCTGAGGTTATGGAAAATTATCTTGGTCAATGCCCCGAGAACGATAAAGATGTAAAGCGTATGGATATCAAGTGTATTATCTAAAAACCGGAATAACCCTAATAGTATACATGATATACAAGAGTTCAGTAACTCGTATATAAGATATATAATAGTTATCTTGGTCAAATCCGTGAGAAAAATTTAAAAGATGTAAAGCGTATTAATATGAAGTGTATTGTCTAAAAACTGGGACAACTAAACTAGTATATAAGATACTTCCAAAAGGTCTCCATTGGAAAAGACAAGTTAATACTTCTTCAATACTTCTGATTTTTAAGGAAGACTACTTGTTTCGACAGATTTCACTGTAATCGTTTGCTAAAACATAAAATACAGAGAAAATTTTAATCTAAAATAATTTGAGACGGATGCGATGATAAATATATTTTGCATGTCATGAGCTAGTCAGAGTCGTCTACCGGCAGACTATATTAGAACTTGGCTTAAAATAATGTTATCATTGGATGATGACGGTATTTGGCCTGTCTATATAGCTAATGATGTAAGTTAAGGAGAAGTTTTCTTTCTTTTTATCTCCTTTCTTGGAGCAGTTTTGGTGCTGTTACATAGATCAATAGTGATCACAATTATGTATTACTGGAAGTTGTAGGTATTTAAATCGATATGGGAGATTTCCGTGCTTTTGGTATATTTACATTTAGTTGATTTAACGTACAAAATGAAATGTTTATTCATTAGAGTTATTTCCACACTTTTAGCGATGCATTATCGTTACGGCACATTTCCTATACAGTGTAAAATACGCCGGAAATAACATAAATTGACAGCTCATGGACTTTAACTAGATTAAATCAAAAATGTAGAGGCATATTTTGGAAGAGAAATTCGACATTCGCGCCATTCGTGCGCTCTATTGATTCATGGCATTTGATTGTACTTTTGTAGTAAACATTTCTTAATTGCAGAGTGAGTTTCAGCTGTCATAGTTTGTAAAGACGTGATTTCTTTTATCCAGCCCCTTGTCTTAAGATGGCAAGCTTTCTAAATAGGCAATTGCCTGTTCAATGAAAAGTTAACGAAGTATTTATTTTGGACTAAGTAATACTCGCACTTCTCAAGGAAAACTTGCATACTAATATATTTTCTGTATGTTATTAAGTTTTAAACACGTTCTTAGCTCTTTGTTCTCAATTCGTTTCAAATGACAGCTTTGCTCATCTTAAAGCCTAACTCAGTTCTTTCGATAACAAGTAGTAAAGTTCACGTCTTGATAAACGTCCGTTTACTTAACCGTTTGAGATGCCCTAATTTACAGTGCGATTACTCCACCCAAGTCCACCCGACAAAATTTTCCACAAATTTAAAAAAATAAAAATCGTGGAGAATAACATGAATATAGTTTTCAACAAATTATCGATGCGATCAAGCTGTACATTGCAAAGACAACAGATCTGTGGTCATTTTGGATAATTTATTGGAAAACTATTGTTAACTTCCACGACTTTATTCGTTAAATTTGCAGAAACTTTTGTCGGGTGCCCTTGATTAGAGTAGTCGCACTGTAAGTTATTTCTTAAAGTACCGAGTTTTGCACACGTAAACATAACTAAGCTTGTTTTAGATTCTTTTGTTTCTGAGCTCTAGGACAGCTGAATCTACCTCATAAGATACAATCGAGCTTATTTACTTTTGTGAAAATATTGAAGGGCCGCAGGCAGGATAAAACATGAAAAAATTTTAAAAACGATCTCTGGCTGAAACGATTAAAAAATTACAAGCTTTCGACTGCCTGAACTACAGTCTTCGACGGGTAAAGTGTGAATGACAAGAAGCGAAGAAAAAGATTATTTACTTTTGATGATCGTCGATAGAGTTTATGAATATGTAATGTAGTGCTTCAATACAAGCCGTTTTAATGAATAGGCCATTCTAAGATTCTAACAGGTTCTGAAAATAGTCAAGAGACGCACACGACTATTGTATCCTGTGAACGACATTAAAGTATTCCTGAACTACAGTGAGCGACAAAAGTGTTGAGATACTTCGCAGTAAAATTCGATTTTCGGGCCTCTTGAAAATGCCCCTCTCCCCATTCCCCCAAACAATGTTGATTTTTCTATTCCTAAGATTGCACAGACCACAGCGTCTAC